TGTTGATCATCCCCAGATGAACGGCATGGCCGAGTCCGCAAACAGGGTGTTACTTAGGGGTCTCAGACGAAGGTTAGACGAAACCAAGAAAAGATGGGTCGAGGAGCTGCACAGCATACTCTAGGGCTACTGAACAACTGCACGCTCATCCAACGGGGATACTCCTTTCTGAATAACTTACAGAACTGAGATTGTCATCCCCGTAGATATTGAGGAACCCTCCAGGCGAACAGAAGCTCCTCTAGACGAGGAGACGAACGACGTCTCCCTACAGGAAGAACTAGATCTGGTCGAAGAAATCCGAACTGGAGTGTCCCTACGGGAGACCTCTCTCAAATAAAAAATAGCCATGTGTTACGACACTAAAGTCATACGACGAGAGTTCGAGGTCGACAGCCTTGTCTTGAAAAGAAATTGCAAAGAATCTCGCGAAGGAAAGCTCGCAGTGAACTGGAAAGGTCCCTATCGCGTCTACGGAAAAACAGGAATCGGGGCGTACTACTTAGAAAATCTACAAGGGGAACTACTTGCTCGACCATGGAACTCTGAGAAGCTAAAATAACATTACAGTTAAAACATTGAGCAGTCGGCGAGCGTCGTCAACAAGATAAACTCATCCAGTCTCGACCGCACGTGCTTGCCTAGGTACAAGCATGGCACTCCAATTTAAATGAGGGACAATACTTTACTCTTTTTGACGAGCGGATCCTTAGCCTGACATGGATAACTCGACCGAGCTCCATCGTCATAGTACCATGCCGGTAGAACACCCAGCTCACAATGGATAGTTCACGCCACCGAGCTCGAGTCCTCGAAATGAGACCTGAGTTCTGGCCCATGCCTGGTATTCACCCTGGCCGTTTGACCAGTTTTCCCATACTGGAGAACACACTAACTAACGAGCAAATCCCCGCTAAAAACTTTTAGCCAATAAAAAATGTCTCAAGCAGACGAGCAGACGATAAACATGTAAAACACTTCAAATACAAAAGTAACACAATCATGCACAAACTAAAGCGAACGACCACCATGGTCAGAAATCATAAACCTCATAGTCGTCTTTATCAACAACCGACTTCCCACCTATGCCTGCATGTTGAACACGAGGCAACCCCATAACAAACGCGGCGAACATCATTTATACCCCTCAAGCAATGTCGACCTAGAAGCATCCCTTTTCGCAGACTGATTTTAAGTCATCACTCATGTGCCTAAAAATAATTACTTAAGGGGCTATTGTTCTGGACTGGCCCAACGGCTAGAGTGGGCCCAGTCTATGCTCCACCTTCAGCACGACCCATTCAACCGTGGCCCGAAATCCCCCGCCCTCCGTCAGGCACCACTGGTCGATGGCTCTCCCAAACTAGCGAGACCAACAACGTCCGACGGACACTTCTCCATCTGCCCGACATCAAGTCGATCAAACAATCAGGAGACGACCAGATTGTTGCCCATAATCTACCTCGTCCTCGGAACTAACGGCTAGTTGCAGACACGTCTGTTCGGTTTGACCAAGTCCTGGCAGTTCCTATATTTACGGACTCAAATATCTAGGCCCAAAAATAGGAACCAAGGGCTACGCGCTAGGGGTATTATATAAACCCTCACACTTGTGAGGGCCATGTATTCACTATTCATCTCTGAAACCTTAATACTTTGCTTGTATCTCTTTGCTCCCACACTTACTTGATCGTCGGAGTTCCTTGCAGATACAACCCCCTTTTCTCCTTAATTTTCCAGCCTGTCAAAGATCATCCTCTGGCCAGCTTGTAAGTTCTGATCAACCGATCAAATTTATAAACAAATGAGTTCTGAAGCGTGAAAATAGTTTGTCCGCGCTGATGAAAATAATTAAATGACTTCGGGTATGCACATCTGAAATATTAAATTATGGGGTTGATTTAGATATACACATGTGAAGTCACATTTTCTTGACAAAATAAAATGATTTCAGATATACACATGCGAACCCATCTATTCTTTGAAATATTTTGAATTCGTTTAAATAAATTGACTAGTCATGCATGTGCTTCCTTTGATAATTTGCTATCACCTAAATTTCTTTATATAATTTTTTGCACATTGCCATATAATCCAAATCCAAATTACTATAAAATCCAAATCCCTGTTAAAAATTGCTATAAAACCCAAATCTCCTTAACCCAAATTCATATAGCACTTGACATTGCGTTGAAAGAAAGAAAAAAAAGCCCATTCCTGACTCTACTGATGCAGTGAACAATGTTTCGGAAGAAAACACTAAGTTACCTGCATCAAAGAAGATTCGTTATGAGCATGATGATCAAGAAGAAGATTCTAAAAGGCTTTTATGACTTTTTATCTCTCTTCTTGTTTATGAAATTTTGTTCCAATCGGGGATTTAGTTTAACTACATAGTGCATGTTTGGATATTAGTTGTATTCTATGTGAACACTTTCATGTCAATCGCTTTTTGTCTCCAAGTGAGTGTTAACTTCTGTTTTATTTTAGTTATATTATGTATAATTCAAAGTCTTATGTACAATTCAAAAATGCATATAAAATGGAATAGTTATATTAATAATAGTATCATTTAAGTAGATTATTCATAGATAGTATTTTTGTTTTTATTGTGCTCGATTGGTTAATGAGTTCCACCAAATAACGAACCTGAGTTTGATTTTAGATTTTACTTATCTTATGGTTGAACTTCGGATTATATGTATAGGTTAGTTAAGCGTAAAATAAATCTTTTTTTTTTAATCTAAGGTGGATTCAAGTTCAATAAAAATATTTATTCAAAAAAAGTTCAACAAAATTAGTACTTCTAAAATAGTGCCAATATATACTTTTATTGAACTTTTGAAGTACTAGTTTTGTTGAATTTTTTTTGAAGTACTAATTTTGTTGAACTTTTTTTGAATAAATACTTTATTGAACTTGTATCCACCTTAGATTAAAAAAAAAGATTTATTTTACGTGAGTGAACTGCACAAGGTTAAAGATGAACGAAAACAGCGATATCAGTTCCAAACTTCTAGTGTTAGATGGCAAAAACTAGAATCGTTGGAAGATCCAGTCGCGTGTGTTGTTCGGTTCTCAAGATGTGTTAGATTTTGTCACTGATGACTATGTTTCATTAACAGCAGATGCGACGAAGGCACAAAAGACAACGCATAAGGCGATAAGGAAGAAAAATCAGAAACTATTGTTCTATATCCATCAGTGTGTGGATGTGAATGTGTTTGAGAAGATTGCTGACTTTGAAACAACAAAGAATGCGGGGGACACACTGGTCATATGTTACTGTGGTGTCGCATCAGTGAAGAAGGTGAAACTCCAGTCCCTAAGAAAGCGATATGAGAATCTCAACATGAAAGAACATAAGAAAGTTACTGAGTATATCTCTAGAGTGATTTTGATCACTAATGAGATGAAAGCTTGTGGAGAAACCATTTTTGAAAAGTAATCATAGAGAATGTATTGAGATCTTTAACTTTTCGATTTGATTACATTGTGGTAGCAATTAAACATTCTAAAAGATCTGGAAACCATAAGCTACAAAGCAGTCTAGAGGCACATGAGTTGCATCCGACTGAAAGAACTTCTGAGAGGGAAGTTGAGCAGGCTCTGAAAACTTCTTTTGTCAAGAAGGACCAGAAGCATAAAAAACATGGTAGTTCCCAGAAGTCAGAAGTCTTCTATTTTGATGAAAAGAAACATCAGAAGAAAAAAGAGAAACAGGACAAGAGAATGATTCAATGTTTCTATTGTAATAAGTCAAAAAAAGCCAATATAATCAGAGGAGATTCAAATGATGAACATGTGTTATTAATGGCTTATGAATCTGATGAGAAATTTGTGAGATTGTCATTTTCTGATTCAGAAGGGGAAGACGATGATTTTGAATATTCTAGCTCTAAAGGAGTGTTTGAATGAGTCAGAGTCAGAAGATGACGCTAAAGATTCTAAAGATGAGTCACAATCTGAGGTTTCTGAAGATGAGTCAAAACTTGAAAGTTCTAAAAAAGAGCTAGAGTCAAAAGATGAAGAACCATTTGGAGACTCTAAAGATGAGTCATATGATGAATCTGATTCTAATTATCATTTTGATGATGATCTAGAATCTAGTGGTAATCATGCTACTATAAGGGAAATAGATTCCAGAGGACAAGCTTTTGAAGATTCTGGTGGAAATCATGACTCTAAAGACGAACCTTTTGAAAGAGGAGCTGATCATGATTCTGAAAGTGGAATGTACTGAACAAGGTCTAAAAGTTAACAAAGATGGAGCTTCTATTGATAGTCAAACTTCTAAAGAAAGTCCAAAAAGAGACATTGTAAAAGGAGATTCTGAACAAGTTTAAAATCCACATAGAGTCCAAAATTACAGAGTTTGACAAGTAGTAAGATACTGAAAGGACTCTAAGGTATAGTATTAGATCAAATAAATAAATGATATGCTATTCAGACTCTAATTTGTATGAAGACAAAATTGACAAAAAAAAAATACTTTTGAATATTTTTGTTTGCATATGGAAATGATTTTGTTATATGTGAACTATATTTAAAGTTTGAATTTAAAATATGAATTTGTGAATTTATTTATGATATCATATTTTCAAAAAAATATAAATGGTAATTATATTTTGTAGAGATTGAATCACATGGTTCAAATGAAGACAGAATTGACAAAAAAATATTTTTGGATATTTTTGTTTGTATAAGAAAATGATTTTGTTATATGTGAACTAGATTTAAAGTTTGAATTTAAAATATGAATTTATGAATTTATTTATGACATGATATTTTCAAAAATATAAATGCTAATTATATTTTGTAAAGACAGAACCACATGATTCAACGAGTTATCTAGCTTAATCTAATATATTAATGCAATTGGACCAGGGACACAATAATTCGATCAATAATAAATCAGTGATCCAATCAATTGTTTAACCAATAACCAAATAACCTCATCAATTTAATGTTCAATCCGATTTAATGTGATTCTTCTTGAGTCACCAGTGGCTCATTCCATCCATGTAAATCAGACAATTCCTACATCATTAAAAGGTACCATCAAGAGTTGCTACCAAAACTATATATATCTCCCGATAAAGGTCGTAAGAAATCTATTACATCTTCACATGTCAAAATTTCTTTATCAAAACCAAGATCAAGACATTTAGTACTTTAATGATTTATATGAAGCTGCAAAAAGTGTATGAACAAATTATCTAATCCTAAACATTGTATTCCTTCTTTCTATATAAAGGCAAACTATGAAGCACAAATCCCCCAAATTTAACACTAAGTACTGATAATAATCTTACAATATAAATAAATTAAATATAATCATAAATGACAATGTAAGTGTTGGATATAAACAGCAAGAAAAAAAACTCCTCCTTCAATAATACCCAGGCACTATAATGCATAGATATTTAAAGTTATTATTTAAATATACCGTGTCTGAACGAAAGACCGAAAGAGATGTATACCACAAACTCAAATAGACAGAGAACAGATCTAGAGAACAGATCTCAGAAAGAATTAAAAATAAATAAATCATTTAAAAACAACATAAAAATAAGATTAAAATTGTGAGAAACTGGGTAAGCAGATTTACCGACAGAGAACGAAAAAGATCTCACAATAACCGGCCAGTAAGCTTCTTCGATTTAATGTAGCTATAGCCGCAATGGCACATTCAAGAGCAAAGGTATCTATTTTTTTATTACAACCTTCCTCTCGGTACAATATAGCCTTCTTACGAAACAACAAATACAGAGAATAACAAGATTGATAACAAAATGAAACTAATGCAAAGCATATTTGAAGACTCAGAAGGATCCATTGGTAATTTTCTAATCACAATGGAATTTTCTATTCCTTCATAAAATAGGTAGTTTTGAGCATCATTGCCTTCAAAATAAAATTCAAACAATAAAACCAAATTCAAATTCAAATAAGAACGTGAGTTCTGGAAATAAAGAATATGAAGAAAAATAAACAGATGCTATGCGAATCGCAGTGAGAGGGAGAAGAAGACTCAGCTGTATAAATAGAGGTGATGATATTAGATCTAGGGTTTGAGGCGCAGCTGAAATTAGATCTATGGGCTACAATTTGTAGGCCCATTTTTTTTAATTGAAGAACCAATTTTAATCATATATTCAACAACAAAAACAAAAACTAACACATATTTAATTTTTTTTTTACTTATTTGTAATTAAAATATTATTATCCATCTTTTTTACAAGAGATACTTGTGCTTTCGTACGGTTCGTAAACTATAAATAATAAATAAATATAATATGATATAATGATGGTTAAGAAATATATATAAAATATATATAAATTAAACAATCTCAACACGTTAAAAATATATATATTAATAAAAAAATAATGAAAATAATTGAGTTGTCATATATTTTCGCTTTCGCAGGGGTCACATAATATCGTTATTGATCTTACTTGTTGATCTGAGTAAGTGAATGACCTGCGATCCGTCCGTAGTCTCGAACGATCAACGAAGGAGGGTTGTACTTGCAGACACTACGATGATGCTTAAGTCAGTTCGAGCGAAGAGATAAGTAAGAAAGGGTAAAGAATAGAATATATGACCCTTCTGCAGAGGAGGGTTATTATAGTGAGCTACAACGCTTGACCAATGGTTATGGATTGGATGTTTAGGCCCACAACTGATGACTGTCAAGTTCTCACGTGAAAGTAGGGATGAGCAGCTTGTGCTCGTCGTCTTGGATCAACCGCTGCACACTCCACGGATAGTGGATGAGCTTTCCCGTTACAAATAGTAAAGTGGTTCCTCCAGTCACGCGAGATGGGCGGGTTCGATTGGTGACGTGTCTTCGGGTGAAGAGTATGTGGGGAACGTGTTTTTCACCGGGCCTAACTGATTGGACCAACACTTTGAATTGTCCTCGACGTAGACATGAATTGGATTGTGATCGACGGTGGGTCAATCATAGACCCAGTCTAGAACAATTATAAATAGTAAATAAATATTATATAGTGATGTTTAATAAACATATATAAAAAATATACAAATTAAGTAGTCTCTGCATATGACGAAAATGTATATTTTAGTATAAAAATAAATGAAATAATTAAGTTATAATTACCCGTGCTATCGCATGGGTCACGCAATATCGTTATAAATAGTACATAAATATAGTATAGTTATGGTTAATAAATGTATATAAAAGTTATATAAATTAAGTAGTCTAGACCCGTCGAAAATGTATATTTTAGTAGAAAAATAAATGAAATAATTAAGTAGTTGTATATTTGTACGTATGCACAGGTCCCGTAATATCGTTATAAATAGGAAATAAATATAATATAGTTATTGATCTGACCTGATCAGAAGGTTTGGACCGTCACGGCTTGCTCCGAGCTGAAGGCTTTTTGAACGAGGAGGGGGGGGGGGGGGTACCTGCAAGGCACTCCGATGCTAAAGTCAGTGGGAGTACGAGCAGATAATAGAGTTGAGGTTAGAATGATCAATACCTGACCCTCTGGAAACAGAGGGTATTTATAGCCCCCAGCGCTGGGCCAAGGTTCCTTCGTTGGGCTGGGCGGATTTGGCCCAATGGAGGAACTGCCAGGTTCTACGTGGGTAGTGGGGACCCGCACGTGGTCCCCTTCCTGGATGTGCTGCGTGAAGTGCGGGCGGACAGAGACGCGGTCTTTCCGGAGTATCGTTGGGGGAACGGTGGACTGAGTCTGCCCTAGCCGGGTAGCTCGGGGCCATGTCGAGCTGGGCAGCACGGTGCTGAGCTCGACGCCAGGACCTCGAGCTGGACGACGGGTGTCGAGCTGGACGCCAGGACATGGAGCTGACGGCAGGGTGTCGAGCACGACTTCACCGCGTGGGTTGGACATCGGGATGTCGAGGTGGATATCAGTGTGTCGGGCATGGACGTGACCCCAGTGTGGTCCTTAGTGAGTCTCTTTGGACTGGGCCTCAGTAATGCTTTTGGGCCTGTCGGGCCCAGTCCAGAACAGGAGCCCCCCAAGTCGTGGTTCCTTTGCGAGGAGCCATGACTTGAAACCAAGTTGTTCCGTCGTTGACGTCTCGTGCCCGGGATGGAGGTGTGGGCCCTCGAGGGGCCTCCTCGTGTCGTGCTCGGAGATGTCCTCGGTGGTGGGTGCGTGGAGGATCCGTACCGGGCGTGTCGGTCGAGCACACGAGGCATCTTTCGGGAGCTGTGCCGCCACCCTAGGGGGGTAGGGCCATCATTGCGTTGGGAGCAGCGCGTCGAGGAGATGGAGTCCGTGGTTGAACGAGGTGACGTTTGGTATTCCACGTCATCACTATAAATAGGATCCTTGGGCCCCATAATACGTTTTCCGTTCTCCGTGCTCTCTCCGTTGCCGCTCTCAACACTTTCTCCAGTTGCGACTTCCCGTCTCAGATTCTTCATTTCTTAGCCAAATCCCAAACTTTGATCCAAGTAAGTGATCTACTTTCTTTATTTTTCCGTTTTAGAATGCATGATTCCTGGAAATTGTAGATGTTTTAGGACCGTGCGTGTGGGATTAGCCCGGTAGACTCGTGTTTTGCCCGACATATTCATGTCTAGGACCGGCAAACGCATACTCGTGGCCGACACATTCATAGTTTTAAGTGAAAAACTTCAGAGCAGCCCGGGGTCTTCATGATCCGGGGCGCCTGATTCATGGTGGTGCCCGGTATGTTTATGGTCGTGACCGTGGGCTTCATAGTGCGGCTCACCATGTTCATACCTCGGGTCGACATGCTTGAAGAGTGGCCGCGCAGTTGGTTTGAGGAAGAATACTGGGTTCAGGAGAGTCGGGGAGACATCCACTTGTGAAAACGGACTTGTGTAGTAGTGTATGGACGACATGATTATGTCGAGCATAGGACTTCACGCTCAATCTGATTGGTTTCCCGTGCTCTGCAGGTAACCATGGCGGATGAGCCGAGCTCCTCCGGGCGTCGTGATCGCGAAGAACAGAGTGCCGATGAGTCGGCCACCCTTATAGATACCGTGACCGACCCATTGCTGGAATGGGTGGGTGTCGAGCCTCGTGGGACAGCGTCGATATATAGCCGGGATGACCGACATCCATTCACCACTATTGAAGAGGGTCAGGACCAGCCCGACTTCCAGCAGAACTTCGTGGTCATGCTTCCGTCGACCAATGCAAGAATTTGCTCGGTGTATCCGAACTATAGCCTCGCGATGTATGAGATCGCGTTTAAAGACTTAGGGCTGCGGCTGCCGTTCACAGATTTTCAGGCCGGGGTCTTTACGCATCTGGAGCTGGCCCCGTCCCAGCTACACCCAAACTCTCTCGCCTTCATTCGGGCGTTTGAGCTGACGTGTCGCTACTTAAGGATAGGGGCGACCATCCCTCTTTTCTTTCGGGTATTTCACCTGCAGCGTCAGTCCCGAGGAGGGAAGCACAGCTGGGTGTCCCTGAAGCAGTCGAGGAGACTATTTAAGATGTATATGGACTCCGTGAGGGGGTTCAAGGACAAGTGGTATGTGGTACGCCCTATTACCGACTCTGCTGTGGATTCCCTTTTCGAGGAGGAGGGGCCAGTCAGCGATGATGACGGGGAAGCGATGGTGGCCGACGACGGGAGTCCCGTGTTAGGTCGTAGGGCTAAGTTCCCGGTGTACTAGATGTCCCGACACTACGAGCATGGGACAGGTTATTTCCATACCGCAGTCGGGGATATGTGCACGGAAGATCAACGGGCGTACGAGGCTCTTTGCCGGTTTGTCGACAGTTTTCATCCCGCCCAATGGGTTACGCGGGAAGGGAAAGATATCCTCGACAAAGACGGTTACCCGACGTTCGAGTCTCGCCCGATCGACACCAAGGCGCTGGTGGAATGTCCGACATATAGGCAGGCAGCCCGCCTGTTAGGTTGTTTGCTTGAAATTCTTTATTCGTCATTTATTTATGCAGTCTGCTCGATATTGACTTTCCTTTTATTTCGTGCAGGTTCGATGGCTAGCCGACACGAAAGGCTCCTGAAATTGTCAAACGACCAGAGGCGAGGCAGGAGGGTCGTGAAGCCCCCGCAGATGACGAGGATGGGACCACCACAAAGCCCGAACGCTCCTCAGCCGGTGAGGGTGGACTCGACGTCGAGCTCGGGGCCCGCGTCAGATCCAGAGGTCGAGGAGATTGATCCCAGTGCTGTTTTGACGCAGAGGAAGAGGACCCGCGTGGAAGGCGGTTCGACTGTCGGGGAGGATGCCGGTGCTGTTCAATCTTTTGCCTTCCCCCCTTGCTTCGAAGAGGCGGGCTTTTTCGAGCGATTTCCTCCGACAGTGGTCGCCCATGAAGCTGAGGCCATCAAGAAGATGACTAAAGAGGAGAGGAAGTCGTATCTGGCCGCCAGCGTGGACGGGCTGGTGAAAATGGCCGAAATGGCTTTGGTGTTATCTGAGGATGCAGGGGATGCTGCTCGTGTTGAAGAGCTCGAGCAGGAGAAGGCGGCCTTGACTGCGAGCTCGCGGAAGCTGAAGGTCGCTCTGGAACGCTCCGAGGGGATGTTCCGAGAGCAGACCGCGATACTTGATGCCGAGAGGGAGATGCTGACCCTGGAAAAGGAGAAGTCGGGGAGGTTGACTGAGGAAGGGGAGTTGCTCCGGACCGACAGGGATCGCTTGGCTGCTGAGGTCGAACGCCTGGGTAAACAGGTTGAGGAAATGAATGTTGTCCTGCAACCTGCCGAAGATGAGCCCGAGGATATAGAAGCCTTGAAGAGTCGGGCGGAGCTGGTCGCCCACATCCGGCTCCTCGAGGTGGACTGCGTCGGTGCTCTGGAAGACGGGTTCAATTCTGCAGTCGATCAGCTCTCATTGCTAAACCCTGGCCTGGTCACCGAGGGTATCGGTCATACACACCGGGTTGTAGGTGGCGCGATCATTCCTCCGCCCGACTCTCCCAGCGTCGACAATGATGATAATGTGGAAGTTTGATATTTGTATTCTTTGGATAGCGGGCCTGCGTGCCCTTGATATTTGTATTCGTATTCTTTGGGCCTGCGTGCCCGTTTATTGTATGTTTTGAACACCGCCGGCCTTCTTGGTCGGTTTAATATTGCTTTGTTGCCTTCGGGCGTTTATACC